TGCAGGGACTGCAGGGCGAGTGGGGAGCAGGGAAGCACTTAGCAACCCCCCAACCAAGATCAGAGCGGGAGGGAGGAGGGGGAATGCAGGGTGCTCAGAGGAGGGGGCAGAGTTGGGGCAGGGACTTTGGGGAAGAGGTTGGAGAAGGGGCGGGGTTGGGGCGGGGCCAGGGGCAGGGTTGGGGCCCCGTGGAGTGTCCTCTTTTTTAAATGTTTGAATATAGTAACCCTAATTAATGAAGATAGGTTTAGTTTAAACATGAAAAGAGCGCTTTGTAGTGTCAATGTATGATGGGATGGTCTGCCAAAGTAAACAGAAGCAAGGAATATTAACTTTAAGGAAAAACACTACTTTGAACCGATTCTCAGCAAGTACATCAGGCTCAACATGTCGAATTATGTATCTAATTTGGCGCCTTCCAAAAACAGAAAATCTTGTTTTCATACCGACCATAGTGCATGCCACTATTCCAAATGACAAAGTACTATGGTCAAAACAATACACTCCATGTAGGTATTGCTAGGGTTGGTTAGGTAAAAAGGGATTTTTTTAATTCTCAGAAAAAACTATTCTGTGCTGCTATCTACAGTATCTCACCAGAAATACCATGCTTATATTATTTCAACCACCTGGCACAAACTCTTTCCTAAATGTTTCTTGCCTAGTCACGGTCAAAATCAAACAGATTCTTTAGACAGAGCCCTTCTTCCTGAATTGGAGACAGTTTATGTTGGTGAATGCAGCCCAAACTGAAATCCAGCTGCTTGGTTTTAACAAACAGCATTCCTAAAAAATGGACTCAAATTCTAGTGTCTTAATAGTTTCGGACAGAGATTGAAGAGTTCTGGAAAGGCTTGCAATATTTAGGTGAAAAAAATTCATTGCTGTAAAGCTCTCAAAATTTAGTAGTTTGAGAGACTTTTAATCTATTCTTGTCAAATTGCAAATTAGGGTGTGTCAAGCAATTTTCATTTTATAAACACAGCACAACTGGAATGGAGCCAAAAAACACACTGGTTGAAGTTTGCCAACACAATAAATAGAAAAGTGGCAGCAAATAAGTAGGGGAGAGAAGAGAGAAAATAACATCTGAGGAATATATGTATCCAAAATTCCTGCATCTAGAACACCGTGGCAAGAAGAAAACAGATATGCATAACATTGTCCAATGCTGTTTAATCAATATCTTACAGCTTCTTGTCTGCAAATATTAAATTCCATTAGACAACTTGCATGCTCTGTCAATATTTAGGTATAGCGCATTTAACAAAATGTTCCTTTTCCTGGCACAGAGATTCCAAACTTCCAGCCAGGGAGTGAAATGGGGAAAAAGGAATAGGGATGACATTTTGCCTATAGCTGAGGTAGGGAGTCAATGGCCTTGGTTTTATGGTCCCTACACCTTAGCAAGAACCTTTTGATTTCAGTTTATCCAGTTTGCAAAGAGATCTAGATCTAACTTAGCTCATCCCATTGATGATACTGATGACTCCTTGGTTGAGATTACTCCCGTAGTCTATTGTGGTTCTGTTCTACCAATTGACCTTTAGTGCTAGAAAATTCCTTATATGGGCATTGTTTTAATGAATGAAACAAGTTTCTGACCCTTTACTTTTTTGGGCTTTACTCCAACTCTTAGGCTTTGTCTGCATGATAAGTCATACCTGTATAACTAAATCAATTTAGAAACAGATTTAGTCAAGTTGGTGCAACCTCCTTGCGTAGACTCTTATGTTCCTTAAAGAGTAGTTTTTTGATTCAGCTTAAATTGTTAAGTAATTGACTTAAGCTAAATGAATAATGCAGTCAAACCAAAATAGGAGGTTCACATAAAGGGGTTGCACCAATTTAACTAAATCATTTCTGAACTGTTTTAGTTATACCCATGCAATTCTCACATAGACAAGACAAGGCCTTAGTTCCTCATTTAGGTCCAATGATTGAGTGATGAGTGAGTGGAGAGGTTTTTTCTTTAGAAGAGAGGATTTCCCACGTTGTCAGAAAAATGCTTGTCTGTTTAGTCTGCTTCTGATTGCTCAGAGGTCTAACTCCTTCAGGGCAATTGTTTCCTGTCAGAGCATATATTGGTTCAAAGCAGGGATCCAAGACATAGAGGTTATTGGTGGCCTAACCATCAGGGGAGTAGGAAGTAGGACAAGATCAGCAGAGCCACTGTGGCAAGCCAAATGCAGAGGAAACTATTGTGAGACTAAGGCTTTGGCTACACTATACAGCTTTTAGTGACACAGCCGTGACGCTAAAAGTCTGCCAGTGTAAATGCTGTTTGTCGGCACTTTTGCGGGGTTTGAGTTGTCGACAGGAGAGTGCTCCTGCCAACGAGCTGTTTACACTGCTACTTGCTGCGACAAAACTTTTATCTTTCGGGAGGAGAAGGGGGCTTTTTTAAGCAGCTGTGAATGACAAAAGTTTTGTCGTTCAATTGGCAGTGTAGACAAAGCCTAAGAATACATGATTTCCTCCCAATAACTAGAAACACTCATCACAGAACCTCAGGAGACTGGGAAGCTGTCACTTCCAGTCTCAGTGAAGAAGAATGGAATGACACCCTTCCCAGAACAGAGGTCTCCCCATGGTTTCCAAATATGAGGACACAGAGATTTGAGGAGTCCTCTGACAGTTCTGTACTGCCTTTATCTTCACACAGTAGAAGGAGCAACCAAGTTGACATTCTCATAGGAAAAACTACATGATTAAAGGTAATCAATTTGTATGAACAGTTACCAGAATAGCTAAGAAATAATGCTCTTTTGAAAATCAGATGTAAAACTATATGTAAAAAACAAAATAGACTTACTGGTTATCATTGCTCCAGATACAGAACCCAGAAATCCAATGCTGACCACAATGACAGAGATTAGTCTCCCCTGCCTATGCCTCTGCAGCATCACAAACATTAACACTCCCACAGCACCATGGACAAAGAGAGAGGAGAAGAGAGCCCATAGGAAAACCCAGTACCACATCTCTGAAAAGAAAGCAGTCAAATAAAAGTTAATATTCTGATGTGTTAATTATAAAGCAAGATGTTTAGAAATACTGTATTTTTTAAGAAAAACACTGATTTTTGTCTTCAGAAGATATCAATCTGAAGATAGTAGTATGTGCTCAAGACACTGTACCTATTTGGCCAACCATCTTAAAGAAACACCCCCAAGTATATCCAAAAATTCCAAGTAAAATTTGGGTCCACCTTCATCAGAAGTGTATCTCTGAAGCAACCAGTTTCCCTTGAGCTGTTTTTAAAACCAAATTTTATTGTACTTTCATACTAATATACAGTATCTACTGTAGAACTATTCAACTGTCACATGCAAACAAGCTTATCAAAAATATTTAACAAGGAAGCTTAAAAAGGTGCAAAGATTAGTGATTTAAAGGGGGAAAATAAGATGAAGGCTAGTACCCTAGCTACCCATAAACTTAAATGGAGAGTTCTGATGAACAAATTAACCCTAAAGGAGCTGAATTTTAACTACTGTAGAACCTTGGAACCTCGGGAATGGAGGTTGGCCGTGTTGTGGATTGTGGGGGAAAAACCAAAGCTCAGGCCCGAGCCAACTAAAGTTTAGGCCCTAGCAAATTTTTTCCCCCACAGCCGGAACTCTGAAATGTTTGGTAGCTCTGAGCAAAAGGTTACGGACTTCAGCCATATAGGGGGGGTTGGGTCTGCAACCGCAAAGGGGCGGGGTGTGTGTGTCAGGGATCTGGGTGGGCAGGGCTTCTGCCCTGGGGGAGAAGCAGGGCTCAGCACTTTAGACCTGTGGGCGGGAGGGGTGCTGGGGATTAGGGCTTCAGCCCCACGCGGGGGCTGGGGCTCAGGGCTCACTACGGTTCTGCTCCCGGCTTCAGTGGGGGCTGGGGGTGCCAGGGCTCAGGGCTTTAGCTTCGGGGATAGCTCTGGGGCTGAAACTGGTGCTCCCCTCATAGCTAAAGCCCTGAGCCGCGGTGACCCCTACAGGGCTGAAGCCCCAAGCCCCAGCACCCTCCGTGAGGCTGAACTGGGATCAGAGCCATGGAGCTGAAGCCCTGAGCCCTGGTGCTCCTAAGCGTCAGAAGCCCCTCCCCCCAGACTCCTCATCACCCCATCCCCCCATGGCTGCAACCACAAACCCCATGGCTGAAGCCCTGAGCCTAGGGGCTAAAGCCCCGAGGCAGTACAGTATTTGCTTTTTTGTTTTGGTCTGCGCTACTGCCTGATTGAGGACTTTTAGTTCCACGGGGTGTCCGGTTGACTGGTAAGTCCAATACTCTGGTGTTTATATCTTTGAGGTTCTACTGTACCTAAGTAAAAAACCTAATGTTTACAAAGAGCCAAGTTACAAATGATTTTTATATTTCTAGTTGCTTATTTACAATTAGTCAACAATGTCAGTCTAGTAATTTCTACTACTTCTTCAAAATATGCCTACATTATGTTGTCACAGCTAAGTAACCACTAAAACTGAAGTTCTTAATGATGTAATACGTGTGCTTGAAGACAAACAGGTCCCCTTCTTAAATGTCAGACAAAGGTTACTACTACTTTGAAAGTAAAGGAGCAGTAAGGATCATGGAAGGTACATGGGAATGAGAGAACTACTAACAAATCTGAAAGACCACAGAATAAGGTGCAAGAGACGACAGCATCCACTGTTTTGGAAGAAGAAACTGTTCTGCTCTTGAAATGCATGCACCCCATGTGCTCAGGTTTGGATTCTTTTGGCCAACAGTGTCTGCTGAGTATGGACATGCACTCCATGAGTCCTCATACCTCCCACCCAAGAGCATAAAGATCCAGGCAATCCCAACCACCTCTCAGTTCCTTCGCCAATATAGACTCCATATGTTAAAGGATTCCGTAGTAGCAGGGAAGAAGAGCTGGTCATAAAATATATACGGACATCTCAAAGAACCACAGTTACCATAAGGTCTGAGCGTGGAGATGGTCAAGGTGAATTCCCCCATACTAGACTGGAAACATCTGTCATCTGTGCATTGGATGGCAATAGAGGAAATAAGGGTAAACTCTGCAGACTTCTGGAAGATCTGTCCACCAATTTAATCCAATTTAAACATGATGAGACTTGAGAGTGCAGATCCCACTAACCCCCATGTCTAGATGTGTGTTGAGCGGATATATAGACATCAGCCACTCTTGCAAACATTAAAGGTGAAGGCTGGCACACAGAGTTATGAAAGTGCGAGAGGCCATGTGCCCTAGGAGACTGAGGCAAACTATTGATGTCCAAGGTTGGGCTTGTAACTGATTGACCAGACTTACTATGCAGTTGAATCTCAGCTGAGGCAGATAAGTCATTGCTGTGGTAGAGTCCAGTAATGCCTCTATAAACTCTATTATTTGGGTAGAAATTAAAACCAACTTCTCTTTGTTGACTGACTCAGAGGGAAGCAAAACGCTGGAGTATCCGATAATGGATAAAGTCACATGCTGAGGAGATCTCTCCCAAATGAACCAGGCTGTCTAGGTAAGGAAAAACTTGGTTAGCTTGTTTTCTCAGGTATGCTGCCACTACCACCAGGCATTTGATAAGGGTTTATCTCTGTTTGCTGTAACTTTGAACCTATGGCTAGAGGGGGTTCCTCTGGGTCTTTAAATCTAATTACCCTATAAAGTTATTTTCCATCCTGATTTTACAGAGACGATTTTTACCTTTTCTTTTTAATAAATCCTACTTTTAAGAACCTGACTGATTTTTCCATTGTCCAAAGATCCAGGGGTTGGGTCTTTGATCACTTTGTAACCAATTGGTTAGGATATTATTTTCAAGCCTTCCCAGGAAAAGGGGGTAGGAGCTTGGGGGGATTATTCTCAAGCCTGCCCGGGAAAGGGGGGGTAGGGGCTTGGGAGATATTTGGGGAAAGGCAGAGCGCCAAGTGGCTCTCCCTAAATGTTTGTTTAACTCGCTTGGTGGTTCAGCATACCTTTTAACCTAAGCTGGTAGAGATAAGCTTAAGGGGACTTTCATGCGGATCCCCAAATGACCTTAGGGCAAGACCTGAATACCAGTTCTGTGGATCCACAGAGGGAATTATAGAGAACACTGATCATTCTTAAGATGAACATGTGGATGAAGATGTTCAACTGTTGCAGTTGAGTGTCAAACCCCTTTCTTCTTAGGTATTCAAAAGTAATGGTAATAAAACCGGTTTCCCCTGTAATCTTGAGGTACTTCAACTGCTCCAAGACTTAGGGCAAGTCTACACTACAAAATAAAGTTGACTTAAGTTATGTGGATGTACAGCCATCACAGTAATTAAATTGGTTTGGCATGTCCACACTAGCTCCTTCTGTCAGTGGTATGCGTCCTCACTAGGAGTATTCGTTTGCACCGATTTAACTCAAAGTGTGGGGCATTGTAGAGTACTGACAGCCGGAAAAGTCAACACAGTGTCTACACTAACATGATGTAGTTAGGTCAATGCAGACTTAAGCGCTACATTGCTTGTGGAGATGGAGTTATTAAGCTGGTGTAGTGGGCGACTTACAGCAGCAGGAGCAATACTGTAGTACAGACACTTATGTTGACCTAACCGTAGTGTAAGACCAGCTTTAGAAATTATTCCACTTCTTGATGTAGTGTGCTCTAGTGAGAAAGGTCCCTGAATATGGATGGGGAAGGGATATGTGAGGTGAGAGAGTCTGGAATTGAATGGAGTACCCCACCTCTACAATCTCCTTTACCTATCAGTCCATAGTTAAGCAATGAAAAACTGTTCTCAAATTGAAGGGGGTGGGGGAGGGGAAGAGAGCATTCTTTAGGGAGTTATGTGGCTCCTAACTGAAGAGTCAAATCTGCTGTTTTGAAAATGATGCTGCATAAGCAGCTGAAGAAGAGGCCACCGATCGTCTTCTCCTCTGCAATCTGTCTCTTTTCGAAAGCTTCAGACAGTCTCTGATGCAAGAAGCCCGGCTGTCTGATAGTGCTGAGGCCTAATCTGCCTTCGCCCGAGTGCTGATATATACACATTTACAAAGACCTCAATTTTGCCCTAGAATCTTTTAAGGAGCATAGGGCCTTGCCAGACTTGGGACTAAACAATACAACATCGCTCAAAGGGTAGGTCCTCAATTGCCACCAGAACGTCTTCCAGAAGATTATAACAAAGATCTTGTTGTGGCTATCAAGACAGCTATGGACTTTGCTGCTGTGTCTTATCCAGTGCAGCTTGAAGAAATGTGTGTACCACCAGCATTCCTTCAGATGCAGGAGATTAGAATTCTCCCTAACTCTCCAGAGGAAGTTTATGTAAAAATTTATCAGCACTACCCCAATTTAAATAATTGTATTTCACTAATAAAACATGGTAATTAGCAATCCTCGTTTGTAAACTGGATGAGTAGTTTTTTAGTCCCAACAAGTCCAGCTTTTTTGGTTCCTTGACATGGGGCCTGGCCTTAGGTGGTCACTGTTTTGCCCATCCATGCGCCATTATCACTATCCAGTGAGCCAGGCACAGGTTGAGTGTAAAATTGTTCAAACCCTCCTGATAGGAATCGATCTTTCCTCTCTAGGCCTCAGGTGTAGGTGCCAGAGATACAGTTGTCTGACATAGTAAGTTGGCTGTTGTGATGCTGCCAGGTCTAGTGCCAACTCCTGCCAAGGTTGCAGGCATTAACTAAAAAACCAACAAACTGATAGCTGGAGACCAGACCAGTTCACTTATGTGTTAGTGTTGCTCAAAATAGGTATTAGTCTTATAACAATATATAGACTCTATAGAATGTTTGCAAGTTGCTGCATGTGTTAATCTCATTTATAATGTCTTTATTACATGCTATAAGAAAATATGAAAGTTTTGCTTTGTAACTTTTAAAATGTTCACTCTAAACTTGTGAACGCAAATAGGAAGAGTGTTCCCCCACCCATCCACAAGGGCAATCAAAATCAGATAGGCCATCAAGGAACATCGCAATATAAAGGATTGGTGAATAGCCATATCATACTTTGGAAATGCTACACGTAA